TCTGGCAGACTAACTTTTGGTAGAGACACATCAAATTTTGGCATTTTAAACTTGCCACCCTTCACTTCAAGGCCCTCAACCTCAAGGTCCCCCTCGACTTTTCCTTTAGGGAGTGGAATGTCAACAGTTGGAATTTTAAACTTCCCTCCCTTAACATCAGGATCCTCAAGACTGATATCTACTTCTGGTGACTTAATTTTAGGAAGTGAAATGTCACCTTTGACTTCAGGTGCTTGAATATCAACATCGACTCCCTTTGCTTTGATTTTTGGAAGCGAGATATCGACTGAGGGCATGTGAAACTTGCCTCCTTTACCACTGTGCCCATCACTGTCAATATCTACACCCATCTTTCCTTTTGGAAGTGAGATATCAACAGTTGAGATTTCATTTTTTCCTTTTACGTCTGGTCCTTCCACATTGGCATTGACATTTGGAAGACCCACTTTTGGTAAAGAAACATCAAATTTTGGCATTTTGAATTTTCCCCCTTTCATCTCAGGGCCTTCAACATTTATGTCACCTTCAGCTTTTCCTTTGGGGAGTGAAATATCAATGTCTGGCATCTTAATCTTCCCTCCCTTGATGTCTGGGCCTTTTATTTTGACATCAGCTTCTGGGAGAGTCACTTTTGGTAAAGACACATCAAATCTTGGCATTTTAAACTTGCCACCCTTAACTTCAGGGCTTTCAACATCGATTCCTTCCGCTTTTATCATAGGGCCTTCAACGTTTAAGTCCCCCTCAACTTTTCCTTCTGGAAATAAAATTTCACCTTTAAGTTCAGGCCCGTCAATATCAACATCAGCTCCCTTTGTTTTTATCTTAGGAAGAGAGATATCAATTGAAGGCATGTGAAACTTGCCCCCTTTGTCACCATCTCCCTTAATGTCAATTTCTCCCTTTACTTTTCCTTTAGGAGGTGAAACATCTATGGTTGGCATTTCGAACTTTCCTTTAACATCAGGTCCTTCCAGTTTGGCACTGCCCTCTGACAGGTTCATCTTTGGAAGTGAAACGTTAAATTTGGTCATTTTCAATTTGCCTCCTTTTACGTCAGGGCCCTCAAGGCTGAGGTCAGCATCAACCTTTCCTTTAGGAAGTGAAAGGTCAATGTCTGGCATGTGTATTTTCCCACATTTTAATTCAGGACCTTCTATGTTGACCTCTGGTCCCTTAGCTTTCATTTTAGGAAGTGAGATATCAATAGAGGGCATATGGAACTTGCCTCCTTTTCCAGTATGTTCTCCAATTGCAATTTCTCCTTCTGCTTTTCCTTTGGGGAGTGAAACATCAATGTCTAGCATCTCAATCTTCCCTCCCTTCATGTCTGGGCCTTTTATTTTGACATCACCTTCTGGCAGACTAACTTTTGGTAGAGACACATCAAATTTTGGCATTTTAAACTTGCCACCCTTCACTTCAAGGCCCTCAACCTCA